CGGTAGTGGTGGACTTTTTGCTTCCGCCCTTCTTCTTCCCCCCTTTGGGCGCGTTCTCATTGTAGAATGGGGGCTGGTAGTCCCGTGCGAGGGAGACGAGGTTCGCGCTCCGGTCTGAGGCGATGATGTAGAGGGACGGGTTGACGCCGATGTACTTGCCGTTGCCGCAGCCGGCGTCGAGGCCGACGGAGCCCGGGGCGAGGGACAGAAGGAAGGAAGAGACAAGGGGCCAGGGCTTGTAGCGGGTGGACGAGAAGTGCGGGGCGATGGCCTCGTAGACGGTGTGGACGTGGCGGGACTCGTAGGACTCAGCGTCTTCCTGCTGACCGTCGGTCTGGGTTTGGGCTGTCGGTGCTGATGACGGGGTTGCGGCGGCGGCGGCGGCGGAGGAGTCGCCGAGAGCAGAAGGGGGCTCCGGCGAATGGGGATCGGCGGCGAGCACGGCCGTGCCGGAGCCGGGTTGGGGGCCGGATGATGCTCCCATGTGGGCGGCTAGCTAATCTCTGGGCTGAGAGCTGTTGCAGCAAGGTATGCTACAGCTGATTTCCCTTTTCAGGAGGTTCGAGCTTCACAGGGCGGTGTTTGCGGCGAGAGCGAAAACAAAGCTGTCTCCCCTTGTCTAGAGAGCCGGTGTAGTGTGGCAAGGTAGTGTTGTAGCCACACACCCACGCTGAGGCAAGTTTCTGTCCTGGGTGGGACAGAAGAGGAGGTGAGGTGGTGCAATCTCAGCCAGGGCCCTGGTCTGCGGTCCCGTTAAGGTTGGTATGCGTTAATATAGCGCCCGTTGTCTGGGCGTGTGTTCTGTTCGTCCGGGCGGCTGCGCGCAGGCGTTTGGTGCCAATATAATCAATGCAAGGGAGCAGGTTTCGAAGACAAAAATGGACGCAGAAAAATGGGTGTACTGCGGAGGGTTCGTGCGCCGCGGGCTGCAGGACTTGGAAGATGATTTTCCTTCGCCGGGTGTGGTTGCAGAAGGGACGTGGGATGGAACCAAGAGACGATGAGGCAACTTGGAGCCAGAGGAGAAAATGAACCAGTCTGAGCGTGCGTCTGTGGCGTCTGTCTGCCTTCCTGCACTGCATCACCCCGCCAGTTTGCGCTGGCTGCTGACACTGGGGAACACTAACGTAAGGTCAGGTATCCGTAGGTAGGGAAAGACAGGAAGAAAGAAAAAAACGTGTAGGCGTTGTGTGCGGTGGGTCCTCGACGCAGAATGGGCAATGCGGCACGGATACGGTGCGGCACACCTCAGAACTAGCGCTACGAACGGCGCGCCTCGAACGGGGGTTGCGTTCCGGGATTAGGGCCCTTTAATCCCCGGCTCGGGGTACGCCGAGTATTGTCCCGGGGTCGTACATGATCACGAACCTACCGCCTAAACAATGCCCGTTGTGTGCCCGTGTTTGAACGGCAACGGCTTCCAATGACGGCATTCCTCCCTCGTTCGTTCGTGCATTGATGAAGAAGCGGCATTTGAGGGGCTGAGAGAACCGGCGGCATTCGACCCATGGATCGTGTGTTTGCTTGTGGTCTTATTTTCACCCTGGTCCTCCTGCATACTCTTCAGCCGCTTTGGCGATTGATTGAGAAAAAAAAAGGGGGTGAGAGGGGTGTGTGGTGCGGCGTGTGAGCAAACCAGATCGAGACACGAAAGCTTTCAAAAGGAGACGTCCAGGAAAGAGTAGACGTTGCATTGCTCGACCGGGGCTCGAAACGAAATTTGGAATTCCGATCACTCGGTATGAACGGATGGAGAACCACCCTGGATGATTTCTTGCGTGATTGTCGCCAGGGATCTTGGTAGCCCTCCTTGGGGTTCCTGCGAACGCCCCCCGAACGGCAAGGTTGCTGACCGGAGTCCATTCCGGGAAATACACACCTGTTCCCCCTGATGCATCGAGGCACAGAATAGGAGAAAGAGAGCAAGGCGGGCGAACGGCGACCAGGGGATCAGTGTGTGATTCCGATGTTTGCTTCGATCGGTGAACGATGGGTCTCTGCATCCCTGGGTTAATTAAGTCTCTATTCGTAACGCTTCACTTACACCAGGAAAAGGGACGTCACTTTAATCGCTGCATTGCGCCGTTTCCTTTCTCGTCGGACCATGTCGTCACATGAAGCCGGAACCACTGTCAAAAAGACCAACGGCGCCGCCGAGTCCTTGGGACCTGCTTAATCTCCGATCAGCACCAGAATTGTGCTGCCAGGCGAGATTATGTCTGCGCTGTGCCGCTGGCCGAGTTACACAGTCGTCTCCGAGGCCACGTGTGGTAATTGCATGAGAGTGTAGGGTGAGGTGAGGCTCGCAGAGTGTTAGCTGTGGCAGATCCAGAGTTGCACGGAGCGCCTCATTTGGGATGAATGGTTCCTTCCAAGTTCCTACACCTTGCCTGGCCGGGTGCTGACGTTATTTTGGAAGGGAGCCTGCCTCATCAGGGTTCTTCGGGAAGGGGGGATGCATAGCGGCAGGGGGTGGGTGTGAGAGTAGAATCAAACTGACGAACCGGTTCCTGCTTGCTTTCCAGGATTCCACGACGAGTACGTACTCTTGGGTCACGAAGGAGGACGGAGTAGGGCAATTGCTTATTTCGTGCATTAGAAAGGTTCTTGGGCGGCTGCCTCCGTCCCGTTCCGAGATGGCGGATCGGGGCGCCGGTCCCGGATCCACGGAGGCGGCCGCCGACTCCGAACCTTGTGTACCTCATCTGCCGTCTTGCATCTAGTTACATATTTTCGCTCCACTCTGCAACACTTTGAATGGCTCAGGCGTTTCCGAGGTTCAACGGGCTCTTGGGGTCAAACTTGTCGGTGGTGATGAGTTCGGGGTACTTGATGCCGCCCTGCTTGATGGCGCTGTCCATCGTCTCCATGATGACGAGACTCTCCGAAAGCGGCAGCGTTGAGCTCTCGAGTTTGCCGTCGCGCAGGCAGCGCGCGCACTCGTCGGCCTCCCAGAACATACCGTGGCCCCAGTTGTTGCGGCCCGGGTCCGTGGGAATGGGGCAGTCGACGGCCTCGACCGTGCCGTCCTTCTTGATGAGCTTGTACGACAGCGGCCTGAAGGCAGGGTGGGCAACCTGGATTTCGCCCTCAGAGCCCTGGACGCGAATGGCGGGTGCAGACTTGCCAGCACCATCGGGATCGGTTGCCACGCGCATCGAGGTTGTCGCGATACCGGTCATCTGGTGCCTGGGGAAGTTGAGGATCATGCTGGTAGACTCATCGGCGCCGGTAACAGGGTACTTCTGCACGGCCGCGAGAACCTGGGGGGCCTCCTTCTCACCCTCCTGCAGGTGGTACAGGGTCTGGAAGATCCACGTCAAAGAGTAGATGCCCAGATCCAGCAGAGCGCCGCCAGCAAGCTCTGGGTTGACCATGCGATGGGAGTCAGGGAAAGACAGCTTGTTGGGGTCCTCGGTGTTGTTGTTGAAGGACAAGTCGGCGGTGGCGCGGTAGACCTTACCGATGGCGCCAGTAGCGATGAGCTCGCGGACCTTGATACTGAGGGGGAAGTAACGGGTCCAGACGGCCTCCATGAAGAAGAGCTTCTTGGCGCGAGCGGTCTCGACGAGGCGGCGGGTTTGGTCGGCGGTGACGGTCAGGGCCTTCTCGCAGAGGACATTCTTGCCGGCATCGAGGGCCAGCATGGCGTTCTGGAAGTGGTGGCTGTGCGGAGTCGCGACGTAGATGATGTCGACGTTGGGGTCCGCGACAAGTTCGGCGTACGAGCCGTAGGTGGCGGCGTCCGAGGGGCCGTCAATCTTCTTGATGAAGTCCTGGGCCCTTTGGGCGTCGCGGGAGGACGAAACGGCGACGATCTTATGGGCGACATCGGTCACATCGCGGGCGGCAGGGTTGGTCAAGAGATCCTTGCAGAAGGCTGGAGTAATTAGTCGTCCATGTCCAATATTTTGTCTGCGGTGAAGGAGGGCCTACTCTCGGCGATCCAGCCAGTGGCCATGATGCCCCATTTGACAGTGTGCGGCGCCATTGTGAAGTCGATGCGGGTGCTGACAGTGCTTGCAAACTGAATCAACTCTGAGGGTACAACTAGAATCGAAGGCAGTCAAGTAGCACTCTATATAGAGAGAGGAAACGACAGTTGACTGAAGAACACGGGACGGTAAAAAGGTGCGAATCGGCGAGGGTGTCTTTTCCTTTTTCAATTGCACGTCGATACGCGCCCCTCCACACCACCAGGCGCAGCTGCTGCGGGGTACGAGAGCGGGAAAACATGGGTACCTTCTTGAACACGAAACTACCTGCCTCCGGAAATATCTAGGTACTAGAACATGGCAGCAAGCGACGATACTCAAGTCCAGCGGGCGGAGTGTCCGCCAGTCCCGCCCAAGCACCGGCTAAATTGCTCGGTGGGTGATGCTTAGAAATTGGACCTGTGCAAACCCCGAGTCTCGAAACATCATGGATGACGCCCTAGATACGCGCCTTGGGTAACGAGGATTCCCACTTTGAGACGTTAGAAATGTACAGGTTCAACTCCTAGACTTTCCCCTTTGGGCCAGCTAGGAGTTTACTGAGCGAGAGCTCTCAGAGAGCTTGGGGGTTTCGCACGGGGGAAAGTCGGGACTTACCCCGCGGCGGGGTCTTCCATCTCTTATCGGCCACTGATAAGACGTCATAAACGAGCTCCGGCGGGGTATTAATCCCGCGCGTTGGCGGGAATGGGCGTGCCGAAACTAACACCGCGGAGTGTCGGCCGTTTGCATGAGGCTATTCCTGCGATATCGAACTTCTAGAAGCCCGGCTGCTACATATCTCAACGATAGTCTTGCATTTTTTTTTGGAAGGCAAGGGTTTCATGCCTTGCGAACCGACCGTGACCCACGCCGCTTGAGCCCCATTGCTTGATTGCATCTCCTCAAGCAAGCCAACCCCTCACCAAGGTGTAACAACACGGCGTAATCTCCCTTTCCCCAGTCAATTTGCCAAGCAACAGCTGTCGTTCTTCACCGCCTGACTCACCGGCGTTATTGACTACCATGGCATCAAACACCGTCGCTCCGATTCCCCGCTTAATCTACGGCACGGCCTGGAAGAAGGCTCAGACGGCCCCTCTCGTGGTCTCCGCCCTCTCGGCCGGCTTCCGCGGCCTCGACACGGCGGCGTCCCACCACTACTACGAAGAGGGTGTCGGCGCCGGCCTGCGCACCTGGCTTAACCAGAACCCAAAGAGCATCTCCCGTTCATCCCTCTACCTCCAGACCAAGTTCTCTCCGGCCCCGTCTGAGCTTCCCATTCCGGACCAGGTCCACGAGCAAGTCGCCACCTCATTCAAGCGCCTGTCTGTTTCCAAGTCTCTTTTCAAGGAGACGGCAGACGCAGCCAAAGAGCCCGCCACGGCGGACGACGAATTCTACCTAGACTGCGTGCTGCTACACTCGCCATTCCGAGAACACGAGGACACCCTCCTCGCCTGGCGTGCCCTGGAGTCCTACGTGCCCCATCGCATCCGCACCATCGGCATATCCAACGTCGACCTGGACGAGCTGCAGGCCCTCTGCAAAGATGCCGCCGTCAAGCCCGTCGTCGTCCAGAATCGCCTGAACCCAAAGGAGGCCTACAACACCCCCGTGCGCGTCTTTTGCCGCGAGCGCGGTATCAATTATCAGTCTTTCTGGACCTTGACGGCGAATCCAGGTATTGTCAAGAGTGAACTGGTGGGGGGGATTGCTGCAGCGGTGGGGGTGAGCAACGAGGTCGCCATGTACGGACTCGTGCTAGGCTTAGGAGGCGTAAGTGTTCTGGACGGCACAACGAACGAATCTCGGATGAAGGGTGACCTGGAGGGCGTGGAGAAGGTGGCGGCTTGGGCTGCGGGCGAGGGATCAGCACTTTGGGAGCAAAGCTTGGAAGCCTTCAAGCTTGTTCTGGGAGAGACCAAGTGAATGGAGAAGAATGGCAGAGAGAATCATACGACAAGACTATCCGGTAATAGTGTATTCATAGGGAGAGCAAGGTACCTCTCCCGCATTCGTGACGAAACGCCCAAGAATGCATTCTGCCACGGGGTATTTCGTAATTCGCAGAAACGCGCCAGAGCTGTCAGCCAGCCCTCATGCAAAATACATCCTCCTTCCTCGACGTCATCCCGGCGTCCCACTATGAAGTTGGCGCCCTCGTAAAGTATACTCGCAGTGGTATCTTGAAACTTCAAAGAAAGCTTTGATCAATGGCGGCCAGATTATCCCTCGACTTTTCCCTTCTATCCTGCCGGGTCGCCATTATAACAAACGTGGCTCATCAATTGTCATTAATCGTCGTCGTTGTATTCTCGACTGTCGACCAGAATCACAACCGTCAAAGTTGCTGCATACGCCTCTCGAATGGCGCAAGCCATACTGTTCAAAGGTCAGCTTTCCCTCGTGCAAACAAAGAAAATGGGACGGCAAGTAGAACTAACCAAGTCTTGCGAAGATCAGCAACGATGGCGCTGAGGCCCCAGTGGGAACACCAAGCTCTGGCCAATACCTCGTTATCCCTTACCCCGAATGCTTCCACAACCAAGACTTGCTCCTCATCAATCTGTTCCTGGCTTGAAGCTGTATGAGGGCCCGGATTAGAACTGGTCCGGGAGCTGCGCGCACTTTGAGACTGTCCGTATAACCCACCCCAGTCTTTGATGCTCATGATGTCGTCCGCTCGTACAGTTTGGTAGACGTAGTCGAAAAACAATGGGTGCGGCCCGTCTGAACAAGGCCATGCCGAAATGAAGGACACGTCGTAGGTAAGACGCATTGGCCACGAAACCCCATCAACAGCGAATTGGATCGTGGCATCGTACACCTTCGGCGCAGGCGGTGGTTCCTGGAATCGGTCTGGGATAGCTTTGAAGCTGAGGAGCTCAATGCGCACCGTGTCGACAATGTCGTCGGCATCCGGCCCCACAAGTTTGTACTCCTTGACGGGGAACACCTCAGCCGGAGGGCCAAGAGGGTCGGATCGCTCGCTCATGGACTGGACATCTTCAGGCGTCATTCGTTGACGGGGTCGGCGCGACCGCACTCTCGCGATCTGAGAACGGCCGAGGTCTGCCGTTGGTCGAGCGGGCCCAACCCAGCCAGCCAAAGACCTGCAAGTGGGAGCAAGGACCTTGCCAACAATGGATGAAGCAGTCCAGTACGTGTAACTGTTCCTGTACTGAAATCCACAGTGAGGATGGAGATGTGTGAGGAGGGCAAGCGAATCGGTAGCCTTGTCAGGATCGATGTCGATCAGGGTATTCATAATCAGAAACGGGAATGTTGGCTGGTCGAAGGTTAGCTCAAGCGCGATGACGTGGGAAATGGGAGACTTACACCTGGCAGCACAAGCCCGCTGAAGAAGGCCAATGCATCAGAGCTGATGATGTCGAGACTCGCCTCGATGTCCCGCTGCTTCATGCTGTCCAGGGTTTGGCCAAGGTTTGGCCACTTCATCATCTGAGCGAATCGTCGAAGCATCTTGATCTGCCGCTTCTTCAATCTGAAGCGGAGGCTTACTGCGACATCGTGAGCTCATGCCGTCAAAGTGCTGCGCTCATTGACTTACTCTGATCGACCGTCTTCCCATAGCTCTCGACCCTAACGTGCTCCCGCCAACGTCTCGCAAGTGCGAGATTCCATTGAATGGTAGGTGGAAGTTGCAGTACCAACTTGTCTTTTGCCGAGTCAGCATGAAGACTCGAATTGATGCGGAGGTCAAGCTCCATGCTGAGCAGGAGTTGATGGCAGAACTTGAGGTACTGAGCCTGGCTGGAGTGACTTGGGTCGAAGATAAACCGCGTGACGACTTGGTTTTTGGGGTTTGTAAAGTCAATCCAATCCGGCCGTGTTAAAACCATGATCAGATCAGTAATCTGCTTGTCAAGCGTCTTGTGCGGACTCAGCAGCTTGTCGGGATCGCGAAGAAAGCGGCGGTATAGACTTCTGTACATGAATTCTTCGTCATCATCCTCGAGGCCGGACTCCAGCTCTTTCAGACGCCTGAATATGTGGCCCAAGTCGACCTCCCGAGGCGTCACCCCGGAATCTCTCAAGGCAATCCTCGGTGGCAGTATGCTCGACATGGCAGCCCATTGGTTAAGGGTAATGGTGCCAGGGCGTTGACCGTGAAAGAAGGCATAACTGGGTTGTTCCAATGTCTCCCAAGGGTAATCGGCAAGACCAGGACCCTGCATACGGAGAGTCATGAGTTGGGTCATGGAGTCGTGTAAGTTGACCACATCGGATTCCTCGGTTTTGTCTCCGTTGGAAGACGTCGTAAAGAGAGCGTAGTAATGATCTGAAGCGTGAGGAACAGGGCGCTTGTGTCCCTTGTGAGCAGGCACACCTCGCGATACGAGGGCGACAGCATCACCGAGAGTGAGCTCTTCATTACTTGACATGCCGGACGGTGGCCATTCAGTCAGTGGTCCCTGTTCAAAAATATTGCCGTTTGGATGGGCGCGGCCTTTGCCCTTGGCTCGCGCCGGATCAGGTCTCTTTGGCCTGCGACGAGAGCTGGGCTGCGGTGGATGGCCGTTTGGGGACTCGACAGTTCTGGTGCCGCCGGACATGTCGGGTAACGACCGACGCCTCCGTGGAATGACATCTCCATCACTCGCCCTGCGCGATTCGGGGTTATCCTGTGATAAAAGTCAGCCCAGCAAACGCGGGAGTGAAGCGCGCGATGAACGCGACGGTTGCGAGCGCACCAGTGCTCCCTTCCTCGCGAGGCTCCTGTTCCTGAAGATGCTACCCCAGAAACTTTTCTTCTCGGGTCGGCTTTCTCGATCCCTCCCCTCCTTGACGTCGGCCATGTCTCATTGATGAATTAGGATTGAGGAACCCGATAAGGGGGCCTAGGTAAAGATTGCGATGCGGAAGAAGAACAAAATTTGGGAATGCGATGAGGTCCGGGTGAGGGCGAGCGTAAGTGAATTCGTCAGTCGCGTGGCTGCGCAACAAGTGTGTCACGGGGAATGCGCCTGTCGCAGACAGAGCAAGCCGCCCGGCATCAGCTCGTGTCTGACAGGAATGAACGTCGGGACGGTCGATAAGGATACTGGGGCTCAAGGCAGCGATTGACGCATTTTTGGGATTCCGAGGCGGTGGTTGTTTATTAGTGACGGCGAGGATGGATCAATCAAGCCCAGCCGTTGTCGTCGGAGGGATGAGAAACGGGTGTCTGTGTGTGAACGTCCGTGAGTTGTCCGAAAATCAGAGATGCATCTCAAAGTCGAGAACGACAAGGGAAGGTCAGGTAGAGTTGGGGTAAGGGCCGTGGGACGGGCTGGAGTAATCGTAGCCGTAACCGTAACCGTTGACTGCTGCAGAACAGAAATGCAGTGGCCCGTCCGCAGCAGAGTGCTCAGTAAGGTCGTAAGGTTGAGTTGAGAAATATGAACCAGTGATGGCGCTCACCTCAATCCAAGGTGGTCGTTCACGTGTCGCAACGGCATGAGATGACGGAGTGAGCTCGGGCGGCGGCGGGTCTCTTGGGCGGGTTTTTGGGTTTGGGCGAATGCGGGACGTGGACAGGCGTCGTTGTGGTGGTGGTGGTGGTGATGATGATAGTGGTGGGTGGACAAGTAAGGCAGGCACGGCACGGTATTCGTACGGAAGAGGAAGGGACTGAACGGGGCCAGTTTAGAACCCGAATGCTGCACCGCCCAAGGTGAGGTGAGGTGAGGTGAGGTAAGGTAGGTTCCATTGAACGTTTCCAGGCTCTTATTAGTGCAGGTACTTGATGCAATGGCAGTCTGTCCTGTCCTGTCAAATTTTCTCAGCAGGGCTGCAGTAGCAGTAGCAGTAGCAGTCGCAATCGCCAGGTGCAGTTGCGGTTCCACGTCGCGTTGCTGCAGCAGGTCTCGCTGTTTCTCGTTTCTTAGTCGTCGGTCCCTTGCTTCATAGTTTGTTCTACGCCTTCCATCGCCGCCAACACGGCCTGCCTTCCTTGCCTTGGCCCGGTGCTGGTGGGCTGGCCAGACCGGCAGGTGCCACTAATGCTGTGGGTGCTGCCTGCCTCACTTTCATTCAAGCAGGGCGGTACCTTCCGCGGTTGGTTTCCCACATCGAATCGCCTCAGGTAAGGAAAGGTGGCTTGAACAGCTGCAGTTATCCTTTTACAGCAGCATTCAGCACCAAGTATGGCGAGGGGGATCAGCATCGGGTGGCTGTGGCCAAAAGCATGCTGCAGCGCCTGCAGGCGGGAGGCCCGTCGTGATAGGGCGCGGCGCCGCAACGACCGAAACCAAAAGAATGGGAGAGCCTGCATCTTCGGCCGTCCAGGAAGGAACACCCCAGTCTCCCTTACCGGCATGCAAGAAATCCAAACCTGCCACGTCGTATGTCATCCCGCGCTCTCCACGTTCTCTGACTCGCATACCACCAACTTGAGGGCCTGGCTTCTACCCGAGCTTCTTCGTCTCTCATTTTTTGGCCTTCTTTTCTTATTTCTGCCCCATGGCCTGGATGACTTGACACCCGGTTCACTCCCGATATTGGGACCCTAACCCTGGCTTTGGCCAACGTTACCGCCAACAACAAACCGCCCTGCCTGGTCTCTTGTCACCCTCGTCCATGCACGTCACTAATCGAATCCACCGTCCGATGCCACTCTGGGAGTTCGACGCCTGATAAACCACTGTTCGATCGAGATCGAGCCCCTGTCTTGCTGAACCACCGCCTAGCCAATCAGTCTTCCTCCTCAGTCTTCGGAGCCGGTTCCAGCATTCTACCTACCTCCTCCCCAGACCTGCGCAGACCGCTCAGGTACAGCCATCATGGACGAAACAACGGCCCAGAGTCAACCTCCATGTCGCGATACCCGCCATCCGTCCAAACTCACTCGGATGCCCGCCACCGGACTACAACTCTCGCTCCCAGAAACCAACATCCGACACTTCCGACTCCCGCCCCGTCCGCATAGCCCAAGCCGCCCTACGTCCATTGCCTCAGACTATCAGGAACGGCTTTTACGTCATGGACAACCGCAATCTTCTGCCCCTCGCCATCTCCAAATATTAACTCCGCGGCTAATATACGCGTCTGACTTTGACGTGTTCTTGCGACCCAACGATGTGACTCCCCTCAGTGGACCAGTGGCCTGACCGGTTCCTCGATCTGATGGATGTTCCTGGTGTAACTCTGGATCTGGTGTTTCGACCTGTCGCTCAGGTGGTGTGACAGCCAGGTTCAGGGTCCATGGTATTTTGGATGCTGATCTTCTAAAGCCCATATCGGTGGTCTGGTATACCTCCAATGCTCAACCGCGAGTTGGCGTCGCTTAATAGCTCTGCACACTACTACGGCATATTTGGACGGTCCCTTTGATGTCCCCGATAGAGTACGTCGCCCAAGGCTATTGTTCACTGTTGAGGACCGAAGAATATGGGCATCATCGAAGTTGGCATTTATTGCCGGAGATAATCTTGAAAGTCCCCAGAACAGCCCCGAAATACGCGGCTGGCTTACACGCTAATCAACCTGGGTTGAACATCAGCGCAACTCTCTGTGCGCACTGGACCCTCCAGGATGCTCGTTTTGCAACGCAGTCTAGATAACCGGTGGGCAGGCACTTGGACCCTGAGCTTTACCTCACTGACGATAATAGCAATTCTCGCATGTGCTGCGTCCGTTCCCCTCAACTCACGAGGTTCGCCCGGAGGTCTCTGTTCCCCTCTTCCATGACCCAAGCTTGCCCGGAGCTTGTTCCGGTGGGGATCCACAGCTCAGCGACATGCCGCCAAGTTCATGCCCTCAGATATAGTACCAAGTATGCAGTTCATGCCTTGAACTGAGCTATATAACAAGCGCCCTCTTATACCCAAGGTGTAGCGGTCGCGAAAATCACTTCTAGAGCAGAAAGTCACTAGACCTACGGAACTCAACGTAGCCGTGGGTGTGTTCGGCGAAGTGCGGCCGGATCGTATCTATGAGACACTGGGTACGTTATGGAATAGACGAGGCTCGACCTCCCCAAGGCGAGCCTGCTATCCCACCGTCTGCTCGGACTCGCATGGCGGATGCCTCTCATCCGGTCTACGTCGCCTCGCTGGATAGTCTCTAACGTGGTTTTGGTGAGAGCCTCACCTCTGCAAACTTACGCCCAAAGCTGGACCGCGTTGCTTTTGATACCTCGAGGCACAGGAAGGCGTAGACTGTACTCAGGCATGCCATTTGGTGTTCCGGTTGCACCCCCCGACACGACCACCAAACCAACGATATCTACCAAGCGCGGTAGGAAGCGTTCAGATGAAGCTTACATGATATCTTTCGGTGGCTGAATCACACGCGGCTGGTAAGCTTTGAGTCTAAATCTGCCTCCTCCTTCTGTGTTTGTGTGTGTGTGTGTGTGTGTGTGTGTTTGTGTGTTGTCTACCATCCGTATTTTATAGCTTTCAATTTTTGATGGTGTCCATGGCGGAACATGTTTTGTCATAGGGTGGTTTGGCTGAGAAGCATGCTATGATGGTGAGCGGGAATGGGTAAGTCGATCTTTTGATTTGGTCGGTGAGCTGTTCGAAAAACAGTACAGGCTATTGAAATTACTATCGAAAGCCCTTGGGTCACCCCGTTCTGGGTTTGCAGCTGCGCTAGGCTTCTGAGAGGCACAGCGGCAAGTTCTCTATTCTATGACCATAGTATCGAACCTTGAGATACAAACGCGACAGGATAAGTTACGGGGAAAAAAGAGCAAGTCGGTCTCGCGAAGTTCCCACAACAGGTGGTTTCTCGATCAGTTAGCTGTAGTTTATTCAGCCTTCTTCAATACCTCGAGACAAAATACAGGCAGGGAAATACGCGCTTACACTCACGATCTTGCATTTTCCTAGGGATGTTGTTATGGATCAACTTACGAAATTACATGGATTGGTTCGGTGTCAAGACCTCGATCATTAGGAGCTTCCCTTCTGCTTCAGCTATGATCAATGGCCATAATGGAGATTGGCGAAATCACCAACACCAAACCCATCATCCTTAATCAACTCACTTTTCAAAGCACTGATCATCAGAGGACACTCGGATTCATCAAACCACATGTGTTGGCACTCGACCCGTGCTGGTCTTCGAAAGCATGGAAAGCGCTCGACTAAACACCCTCGATACTGATGCTTTTAATGACAATGCGGAAAAAATTGCAAAAATAAATGCGTGTTCCGACACCGAGAATCGAACTCGGAGCTCTCCGGATCTTCAGATGCGATCTGATGAAAGCGGAGTATGTTAACCATTACACTATGCCGGATTGATGACTCAGGAGGCAAATAATCATGTTAAGTAGGGTACCCCGCGATGCTCAATCGGGCATGGCCATGATGGTGGAGGACGGGGGCTAGCAAGGGAGGACGCTATGGGGCTTTGTGGATTCCATGGCCGTACATACATAGCCCCCAACGCGAATGCACCCGATAAGCTTACGGCGTGGGCTTCGGATCCGTAAGCAAACGACAGGAGGTGGGCCAGCGGCGTAAGTCGTCTGGGCTCTTTGATGGTATTTTTGTCGGGGAGAGTTGCCATCAGACTAGGGCTGAATTGCCGCGGTGAGAGTTGCCTTGACTCGCGAGCGGGCTCTCTGTTATGTTATGGTGAACGACACCTTGAGGGCGTGAGCTGGATCGCTTGAGGGAGTAACACGGGATCGGGATCGGGATGAGCTTCCGCTGCCTTCATCGGACCCAAACTCTTAAAAGACGCTGTCGGCATCCAAGTTGTTAGTCCTTTGGCTCTACTTTTTAGTGAACACAATGCTATAGTTCGATTGAGGACGACGTATGCAGAGGAGACGGCAATAGCGACAATAAGCACGACGACGACGACGACGACAATGCCACTCTCGTTCAAGAGAACTTGCCGTGGATATAATCCTCTCTCAGAAGCGTGTACTGCGTTAATAAGAGCTCCCGTATATTTCGCAATTTGAGTCGCAGGTTTCAAGAAACACACCGTCAAAAGTCACGAGTAACCAGCAGGACGTATGTATGCACACTGCTAATATTTCAGATATGTGTAAATATGGTATAATCCAGACAACCACTCTAATACCCAAAGGAGAACATTCCCGCACGAAAAGGATCGCTGAAAAGGCATGTTTTGTAGTAAATCGGGTATCATGAAAGAACCCTTTCCGGTTTCCCGCTTCCGCGCCGCTGTTGTGCCACCCGACCTCGCGGTCATTCTGAATCATTTCTTCGTACTCCTCAAATTCAACGACTGCGTCAACTTTTATGCTTTTTGGGGAGAGTTTAAGCCTGGGCAGGCTTCACCCGGCTGAAGATCTCGCCGGCGGTGCGCTTGACGATACCACCGGTGACGGGGAGACTGGTGCACTGCTCGAGGAACAGATCAATCTCGCGAGCAGCCTGGCGACCTTCGTTGATACCCCTGCAGATTTGTTAGCTGACCGATCGAGACTGACATGGATGCAGGACGAGATAAAACTTACCAGACGATAAGGGACTGGCCGCGACGGCAGTCACCAGCGGCGAAGACGCCGGGAATGTTGGTGCTGTACTTGCCGGGAGGAGTCTTGACGTTCTTGCGAGCGTCCTTCTCAATGTCGTCACCGAGGATGCGGGCCTCGGGGCCGAGGAAACCCATGGACAGGAGGACGAGGTCGGCAGGGAAGAACTGCTGAGAGCCATCGATCTTCTTCATGTCCCAACCACCAGAAGCGGAGCGAGTCCACTCAACGCGAATGGTGTTGATACCCTTGACCTTGCCAGAGCCGTCGTCGACGAACTCCTCGGACATGATGCAGTACTCACGGGGGTCCTTGCCCATGTGCTGCTTGACCTCAGTGTGGCCGTAGTCCACACGGTAGATGCGGGGCCATTGGGGCCACGGGTTGTCACGGGCACGCTCCGGGGGAGGCTGGGGCAGCAGCTCGAAGTTGATCACGGACTTAGCGCCGTGGCGGACGGAGGTACCGATACAGTCGTTACCGGTGTCACCACCGCCGATGACGATGACGTCCTTGCCCTTGGCGGAGATGTAAGAGCCGTCGGCGAGCTCGGAGTCGAGGAGGGACTTGGTGTTCTTGTGAAGGAACTCCATGGCGTAGTGGATGCCCTCGAGCTCACGGCCCTTGATGGGAAGGTCACGGGCGACGGTGGCACCAGTGGCGATGACAACGGCGTCGTTCTCAGCCTTGAGGTCCATGAGCTGGATGTCCTCGCCGACAGCAACACCGCACTTGAAGTTGACACCCTCGGCTGCCATGAAGTCGGTACGGCGCTTGACAATGCGCTTGTCAAGCTTCATGTTGGGAATACCGTACATGAGGAGACCACCGGGGCGGTCGGCACGCTCGTAGACGGTGACGGTGTGGCCGGCACGGTTCAGCTGGTCGGCAGCGGCCAGACCGGCGGGTCCGGAACCGATGATGGCAACCTTCTTGCCGGTGCGGACATCCGGAAGACGAGGAATCATCCAGCCCATCTCGAAACCACGGTCAATGATGGCGCACTCAATTGACTTGATACCAACGGGGTCCTCATTGATACCAAGGACACAGGCACCCTCGCAAGGAGCAGGGCAGACACGACCAGTGAACTCGGGGAAGTTGTTGGTCATGAGAAGACGGTTAAGGGCGTCTTGCCATTGGTTCTGGATGGCGCATGTTAGTAAAAAGCACATACAGAAGGCAACAACGGTATTACCTGGAAGACAAGTTCATTCCATTTAGGAATGATGTTGGAGATAGGGCAACCCGTCTCAGATTGGCAGAAGGGAACACCACAGTCCATGCAACGGGCAGACTGGTACTTGAGCTCATCCTCGTCGAGACGGGAGGAAAGCTCGGCCCAATCCTTGGTACGAGTCTTGGGGTTCCTGTACTTCTCGGCACGGCGCTGGTACTTCATGAAACCCTTGGTCTTGTCGAGGACGAGAGCGCGCTTCTTCTCGGCAGCGTTGTCGCCAATGGTCTCCTCGATGTCCTGGAGCTTAGCGGCCTTCTCCTCCTTCTTGGCGGGAACGCCAGAGATGACGGGAAGGTTGTACTCGGCACGCTTGGCCTCAGCGGCCTTGGCGGCCTCCTCAGCCAGGACACGCTTGTAATCAACGGGCATGACCTTGACGAAGCGGGGCAGAGCGCGGTTGAAGTCGACCAAGATGCGGGCAGCAAGCTCGGATCCGGTGTAGTGGTGGTGGTCCTCAATGAGACCGCGCAGGTAGGCAATCTCAGTAGGCTCCTCGACGGCTTCGGCCTCAACCATCTCAGTGTTGAGCTTGGAAAGGAAGTCCTTGTGAATGTCGAGAACGTAGGCGATACCGCCAGACATACCGGCAGCGAAGTTGCGACCAGTGCTGCCAAGAATGACGATACGGCCACCAGTCATGTACTCGCAACCGTGGTCACCGACACCCTCGACGACGGCGGTGGCACCGGAGTTACGGACAGCGAAACGCTCAGCGGCAACACCGCGGAAGAAGCAGGTACCCTTGGTAGCACCGTACAAGCAGACATTACCGACAATGATGTTCTCCTCGGCCTTGAAGACGGCAGAACGGGGAGGGTAGACGATCAGGCGACCGCCAGACAGACCCTTACCGACGTAGTCGTTGGCATCACCCTCAAGCTCCAGGGTCACACCAGGAGCGAGGAACGCACCGAAGGACTGACCAGCGGAGCCCTTGATATTGACGTGAACGGTGTCCAGAGGCAGACCATCCTCGCCGTAGCGCTTGGAGATATGGTACGAGAGCGAGGTACCCATGGCACGGTCGGTGTTGACAATGTCACACTCGATTCTGGAAGGCAGGCCCTTGTCCAGAGTCAACTCGGCCTCTGAGATAA